CAAAAATATTGATTATTACTCAATATTACTCAGAAATATAAGCAATACTCCGTAAGTGGGCGGGGATATCCGACTCTCCCCTACATAATAAAATCATAAGCTTATCTTCGTCAATCTGAAGTAATTAAATAAATAAAAAATGTATATTTCCCTGAAGGGAGCTATTACGCAATGCCTACTTTAAAATTGCTTCCTAGAGTCTTTTTTTAATTTCGATTTTTAAGTATAAATAATCGATTGAATATTGAAAGGCCGATTAAATGCTATTTGATAAGATAGGTTTTTTTTTTCTCAATTTACAAATTACGAACTTTTTTCTGTACTTGTCAAACAATTTTTCCCTCGTATCTTCCTGATCTCCGCGTTCTTAAAGGAAATATAACCAGCTTAATTTCATGTCTACTTGAAGGAGTTAATACGTAACTCGTTTGTCTTCTTCAACTGAAGTTTTTAATCTCCGTTACATCGTCCGGTATCTCTAACTCGTTCTCGAACTTTTCTGTCTCACACAGGTTGTTTCAGAAGGTGGTCATAACCTTTGAAGAATGACTCAAATTGATTTTAAGGATAATGAACAGGAGGGAGTGGAAGAGGTAAGGATTTAAGTTTATTTATTTAATTCACATTAACAACATATTGACCAATCATTTTTATAGTGTAATGCAAAAAAGAAAAAAAGGAATAAAAGATAAAATATTCTGTGCACTTTGGTAGTCTTTCATAGCAGAAAAAAATCGAAGAATAAGTATTTGTTTGAGATAAAAGAGTAAAAAAAAAATAGAAGAATAAGTATTTGTTTGTTTAAAGAAAAATAGTCGAGTTACTTTCATAGTTCGTAATGTCAAAGCTATAAATCTTTCATAGTTATAGTAAAAGTAAATAGTTATCTTAATTTCATAGCCTGTTATAAGAATTTTAATTGTGTAATATTAAAGCATAAAGCATTTTTAAAGTGTAGTGTAAAATACGTAAAATTAAGAAAAGAATTAAAGATAAAATATTCTATGGACTTTGGTAGTCTTTTATAGCAAGAAAGGAAGAATAAGTATTGTGATATTTATTTTAAATAAAGAAAATGATAAATAGTCTAATTATTTTCAGAGCTTGCTGTAGTAAAAATAAATATTGATCTTAATCTCATAACCCCATGTTATTAATGGAGATTATAAATATTTTTTTTATTGTAAACTATTACCTACATAAGAGACAATCATTTTGATTACTTTTATTTTATGTTGCTAAAAATATGAACGGAAATGAAATTTTGATTTTGTTTTATCATAAATAATTCACAAAATTTGAAATGAACTATTTATTGCTTATATATTGCCTATTATAGTAAGAATAATTTATTGCCAAAGTGTGAAAAAAACTTTTATCGTAGATTATTGCCAAAATTAAAATGGCAAAGATTACGATTGCTTTTATCACAACCTATAGCCGTTGATTATTAAAAATGAAAGATTATTTGTTATTACACCGTTTAAAGTTATTTAACTATCTTACAAGTCCAATATTTTTATTATTACATGAGAGAATATTATTACAAGGTAAAATTATAAATTTTTTCTCGATTTCAGAAATCATAAATGTATTATAGGTTTTTAAAAAAATAAATTTTCATTTGCATGTAACTTTTAGATAAATGAGTAAAACCTAAATGCATTTAAAACTGAATGAAAACATCAACACCTAAAAAAACATGGATTAGAAAAGACCGAAAGTAGTAAGTAAAGCAAGTTTGCTTTTATGTTTTACAAAGTTGTTTTCAGTTATCAATACTTAATATATAAGCAATAAAAACTGCAGAAATTATTATTAATAATCATTGCTTTTGCTTAAGCACTATTATTAAATTGTAAGAAAAAGGTTTGTAATTTTTTAAAAAATTTTCATAGTTTCTAATAGTTTTTATAAAACATTCAGGATTTTATCTTCTATTAAGTTGTAGTTAATGTGTGTTCTATGTAACTATATATTTCTCACAAGGTTTTTCTGTTGGAATACGTTATCAGCATACATAATATTCATATTTTAAACATTAATTTGAGTAAACGGATTATTTTAGATTCGAATTGTTTAAAACTTCTCCCCTTAAATTAAACACTACTTTCAGTTGACCTCGATGTTTTGATCCAATTTATCAAATCTACAAATTAAATCTAATACACAATATCCGTTGAATTCAGTTATTATTCATATTAAAATCCTCGATATTTTAAATGACCTTAAGATTTTAAAAATAGAGACTTTTACAATCACTGCGACTATCTCACCTTGGATTAATCTTTCAATTTATGTTTTAGACGTTTTTAATAAAAATAAAAAAAAAATCTGTCATGAGCTCAAATGTTTTTATTCAAGAATTTTGTTGCCACTGTTATCAGTATAGTGATTTAAAATAAATTTTTACAGACGGGACGAAGTACGACTATCATGTAGGTTGTGTTGTTATAGAAAGTTTTACTGTATACTTCAGTTTTGTTATGCTATTTCGCTATTCCTTAATTTTATTTCGGACTAAACCTATCACCAGTGAATTATTTATACAGACTAGTGAAGTTTCACATTAATTCTCAAACTTCTAAAAGTGTATCAGACTACTAAATGACATTGGTTTCGATGTGAATTTTCAGTTGGATACCGCGAATGAGCTGGGTGGATTTTCAGTATTATAAATTTCTTAGAAAAAATGGTTAAATAGTAATTTATTTGCTATTTTACCATAATAAAACTGTCAAATGACCATTAATAATATTGTATTCAAACTGTTAATTGTCAGAAAAACAGTTCATTGAATGGTATCGTCTAATACAGTTAAACAATCAGAATTTTATTGCAAAAACTAGAGCCACCTAATGAAGCCATTTAGTTCCTTGGATCTGGGTATATATTGCGGAGAGAGCTAATCTATCAATCTCATAACCGTCAGAACGGGGGTTCGATTCCCGGCGTTGACAACACAATAATTTACCTTTTCCCTTCAACACATGACGAGTTTCCAGTGCCATGCACTCTCCAATTTTATGATCATGGACTGTAAGAATACAATACTTTCCTTTTTGCAAAGATGGCAGCACCACAAAACTTCTTAATACAAAAAAAGTCTAGAATTTCCATGGTAGTTGTGAATGGTTAAAAAACCGTATAATTTTGTATTCGTGGTTTTGTAACCATACTAATTGTAAACAGTTTCGAAACCGTCAGAGCAAAGAATGTTCTTTACCATAAACTTTACGATTAATTGGATAGACAGACTGCTGTTGGTTATTTATCGTTATTTTAGAATGAAAATGCCAACATTATAGTTTCATAAAGCACTCAGAATGCAAGCAGCAACTCTAGACTTAAGATGAACTTGTAAATCATCAATACAAAAAGCCTGGGAAGAGTGTACTAGATGATAACAGATTACATGAAATTTTTCCTTCTGTTGATAATCATAAAATAGTATCCGTTAATCGCAAAGTTCAAGTTTTAAAAAACAGGCTTGGACATTCCCGTTGTACCCATATTCTTTGATTAAAAAACGAACTTTCACCCATTTGTTCACAATGTTGAATTTTCATCACCATTAAACATATTTTACTGACTGTAGTAGATTCAAACTTTTTAGACAGAAATTTTCAGATAACTTCAGTATAGATTTTAAGTTTTTACTTGGGACCCCATACATCACAATCTTTAAAATTTATCAAAGCAGTAGGATTATATTCTATAATTTAAGGGGAGTCTGTATGTTATATATATCAATAATGCTGAAACTGGCCTTTTTTTTATGTAACTTTTCTCAGAAACTATTTATGATATCACTTTGAAATTTTTGGGGCTTTTTGAGATTATATCAGTTGTATGCTGAGATAATGTTTTAGTGTCAACAGGAATACTTTTTGAGTTATGCAAGATTTAGGATGAAAGCTTCTTTTAAAATTATTAAAATTTCGGATGAAAAGTGTTTAGTTAATATTTGTTTTTTTTAAAAATGTCTGCCTAAGATATATATTAGCAGTCAGTTAACGCAGTGTAAACATGTATATGTAAATATTCTGTGGAAAAAAGACTGGATCAATATCTTGTTAAGATGCTGAGAAAAGATACATCGAAAAAAGTCAGTTGATCATTATTCATATATGCCCTACCGACTCCCCTTAAAATTATATATCTTTATATTAATTTGATCTAGTGACCCATTTGAACCTAACGGTTGGCGCAGTATAGCCAATCTGGCTCTTGTGCCAATAAGTTCTTAACAACAAATAACTAACCAAACAAATGAATCTACAATTGCAGATAAATCCATTCAACATTGTACTCCATACTTCAATGGATTTATAAAACGGTGCAAATTTACTACAACGTTAATGACTAGTTGAATTGAATCATATTTCTGTATAAGTTGAACCACATACGACGAAAAAAATTCTGGTATAATGACGTTTCTGGCAAAATAAAACATAATTCTGGTCAAAAAAATTGAGAGAGTGTCGTTCAATAATTTTTTTGTTCGGATGGTAATGGTTTACCGAAAATTCAGGTTTTTAAAATTGTATAGTTCTTATTAACACACATTTAGTAAAAATACAAAACTTAAAAATAAATTTTACCGAATAAAGGGTTTTTATGCCATGCTCTAAGGAATCATGATAAAACTATCACTTTATATCACATTTACTACCAAACAACATAGTAATAAAACCGTATTTTATCGTTAATTTTTCCAAAAGTAAGAGAAGCACTTCGTTAAAAATTACTGTACTTTTTGGTGTTCCCATTGAGCCAGAAACGCATTAAATTTTATTATATTCTGGTAAGTTTTTATCATACTTTTTAGGTCAGTGCAGTCTTGCACAATGAAGTACAAAAGAACTAATTTGCACAATATTATGGCTCAATTTGGAATTAAGATTGCAGCAAATTTAAGCGATAATATAGTTGAATGATTTTTAAAATTTTTAATTTATGCACTGAAAAATTTATTTTAAGAAAAAGTATTCTTGTCTATTCATCCATAAGTTTTAGAATTAGTTGTACTCTACAAAACGTGTAAAATTTTTTTGAAAATATTAAATATGTTAATTTAAACATCTCTCAATTTCAGTTTCCAATTTTTTTGAAAAACTGTTTTTAGATCAACGATTTCCACTTATTTTTGGTTACGGAACCCTAAATAATCATCCTTCCTTCGGTGGAAGCCCAAATATCCACTCGGCTCGGATGGAACCCCAAATAATCATTCTTCTTTCGGTGAAACACCGACTTCATAAATAAAGTTTGTTGAAGTAATTGTGAACGTTACAACCTATAGAAGCCTATATCATTATAACTTATAACCTATATCATTAATAATTTTAAATTAGATTTATGTCGATAGTTATATTTGTAATCCTTGTGCTGTATCTAGTCTAGTTATGAACTTGCTTTTAGAGTTTATACATAAGCTGAAAATGAATAAATAAGCCAAAATATGTTTTTCTTCAAAATGAAAACTACTGTAAACTCTGAAAAAGGAAACATATTTTTTATTAGGGAATTAGTTATTTAATGTTGATTGGAACAACGAAGCAGGAAATACTAATGCAACAATTTATAAATG